GATTTGGGCAGTCATGACTTTTTTGCTTTCTCTCTGATTTATTTTGCTATTTGGCCTCAGCATTCGCTTGTCTCGCTGTAGACGCACCATCAGCAACCCGTTCTGCGACAACGCCTCCCTGTTCAAGCTCTCATGTGAAAATGTTCTATGGCCTCGGCTCCGCCATGGCCAAAATGGCCTGCTCACTGTGCAGTGTGACGATCACCTACCTGAGGATCTCCATGGTGTGTTTGAGTAGGAAAAACCAGGCTCTGAACAGTAAAGCCCTGCAAACCTGTGCACACCTGACTGTGTACATCATTCTGCTTCTGTCAGGAAACATCATCATCATTCTGCATCGGTTTGAGAACCTTTCAGACCATAGGAAGCTGGCATCCATCTTGTTCCACGTGGTACCACCTTCTTTAAACGCCATTATTTACGGACATCAGATCAAAGCCGTTAGAGAAAAAAATCACTGTCTATACTATTTTTACAAGGAAAAAATGACTTCCTTCTCCTGCGGGGCAATTTCATTTTTAGCTATAAGAAACTGATATTTTAACTGTGTTTAACAGGCTTTGAGTTATAATTTAGGCAAGGCAAAGCAAAGCAAATTTATTTGTATAGCACAATTCAACAACAAGGTGATTCAAAGTGCTTTACAGAGACATTAGAAACAAAAACAAATAAAAAGCAATTTAATATAGGAAACTGACTGTTATTTTTACACATCTCATTCAGTTGAACTTTGTTGAAATTTGTGATCTTATTATGCCACGGCAATATTGTATGCGTTTAATTGCATGTTGTTACTTTAACACTTGTATTCTTAAGAATTTTAGCTTTAATTTTTTTCAATATGTACATTTTTCCTAACACCTTTTTAAACTACCATGCTGAAATCTCATGTGCTCCTTAGAAACATGTTTTAACCTCTGTCAGGTTACTGATGTCGGGCGAAAATATTCTGATAATCATAAACTTTCCAGCAATCCATTATTTCTTTAACTTTTGACTTTCACAGCACCACACATCCATTTCTCATCCATTCAGAATGGATGAATGGAAGTTCTCTCTTTCCTTATTAGAGAAATGTAAAAACGTTTGGTTTCTTGAAAGCACCCTCAAATCACCAGTGAAACCTTTTCAAATTAATTTACCCAAAAACATATTATCACTTAATGTCAGGTTAACTACTGCTACTTTTGGTAAACAAGGCAAAACACAATACATCATCTGTTTTCTGTATGGTAAAGTTTACTTTAGAAATCATTATTAATCATAGATTAAATATATTACTAAGCAAACAAGAATCTTATGTAAAGAAACAATTCTTGTGTCATCTGTAACAGAGTTACTGGTGAACTAAGCTTCTTTTTTGTCTTTGTTTATGCTAACATGTCCAAATACTTTGGAAACTGATCAGACATTTTCCTTGTCAGAGGTACTTTATGGGGACAAATTGTGGATTAGTTGTGATAAAATTGCAGAGTGTGGTAACACTTCTTAATACCAAATGAATATCCTACAGTGGGTCAAGTAGGTGTATATCAGGTGTCGGCAACCCTGGGAACGCGTACCATAGTTGGCATGCAAAGTAGCTCGCATAGACACATTAGTTGTGCTGCTTCTTAATGACGGTATCTTAGCTAACAGCCCCAACTATCAGATTCAACTTGTATTTGGCTAAAAATAACTTAGCCTACAGTCCACAGCTGTGCGTGTTCATGAAGCTTGCATTTTCACCTGCTGGACGTCACTACCTGACAAGTTTAACTGTCTACAGAACGTTGCAGAGGCCTTATTGACAGTATTTGGCTCTACATGTCTGTGTGAGCAGATTTTCTCTCACATGAGTCCTCAGGTAGCCGTCTGAATGCTGGACACTCGGAGACCAGAGATCACAGTAACATGTGTGTCTCTGTATTAACAAACATGCCATATTGGCCCAGTTTATTTTTCTTATCATTGTTGTGAGGAGGCCATAAATAGCATTTGTATTTTCTGTTGTTCAGTTCATTTGCTGTTATGGATAAAAAGTATTTTTTTGTTTCAAAATAGCTGATAACTATTCGCTGATAGCTGCCAATATCTGAACAAATATAATTCAGTAAAGTTGATCTATATAGTGTGTAACTGTTACTATAGAGCGTCATTAAATGTTTTGCTAATGCAGTTATATGGCACATTGACTTCTGAGGAAATTTTGGATGGCACTCATCATCAGAAAGGTTGCCGACCCCTGGTGTATATCGATAAAGTGAGCATCACTTCAGCTTGTTTGTCATTATTCATTATTGTGTTATCTGGCCACTATTTGAGTGCATGATCTTTAAAAGTCTTCATTTTTGTATTGTTCAATGAGGCCTTAATAGTGCTTTAAAGTGAAGGGAAGATATTAAATTCAGTTCTTTGTATTCTTTTAACGGCAAAGAAAGACTAGGCTCAAAGTGGTCAAAGCTCAAAAAATGATCTTTATTTTACATTGCTGGGAACGGAGACTGAGCACAGAGTCATCAGCTCAAGTCTGAAGCAGCAGCAGGCAGTCTGGTTATTTATATACTTCCTCTAGACTTCACGCACACTTTAAGTTTCGATCAAACACTCTACTTAGTTTCACTTTCTGTCTGCCACGCTTCCTGTTCTCTGCACAAAGCGTGCAGTCTTCTGTCAGTACTCTGTGGCTTTTGGCGCACATTCTAACTCACAGGGGCGTTTTCCTACTCTATAAACCAATATAAACAGAAAATAAGCACTAACAATATATATTTATTTCATAACAAAGATAAGAGGGAAAAAATTAAACATTTACAAGGGTCTAAAAAAATCCCCAGCTCCAAAAGTATCAAATTTACTGTGGTTTATGTTTTTCAATTTTTTTTTCCAGTGCCAGTGAGACACTTTTGATGAAAGCCTAAAGGTGACATTTCAGCAGCATATTTTCATATTTAGGTTCTTAGAAATTTCTAGAGCATTCAATTCTATTTATACAGTGCCAAATCACAACAACAGTCGCCTCAAGGCGCTTTATATTGTACAGTGGATAGATATAATATAATAGATACAGAGAAAAACCCAACAATCATATGACCCCCTATGAGCAAACACTTTGGCGACAGTGGGAAGGAAAAACTCCCTTTTAACAGGAAGAAACCTCCAGCAGAACCAGGCTCAGGGAGGGGCGGGGCCATCTGCTGTGATTGGTTGAGGAGAGAGAAGGAAGACAGGATAAAGACATGCTGTGGAAGAGAGACAGAGATTAATAACAGATATGATTCAATGCAGAGAGGTCTGTTAACACATAGTGAGTGAGAAAGGTGACCAAAGAAGAAATACTCAGTGCACCATGGGAATCCCCCAGCAGCCTACACCTATTGCAGCATAACTAAGGGAGGATTCAGGGTCACCTGGTCCAGCCCTAACTATTTGATTAAGTAAAAAGGAAAGTTTGAAGCCTAATCTTAAAAGTAGTCTCCCGAATTCTGGAAGCTGGTTCCACAGAAGAGGGGCCTGAAAACTGAAGGCTCTACCTCCCATTCTACATTAAAATACTCTTTACAACAAGTTGGCCTGCAGTGTGAGAGTGATGTGCTGATCGCAGTGAACTAAATTGTGTTTTCTTAGTGCTGTCAATTTAAGTGCATAATCCCATGGAAACCATGAATGAGCACGTTTATGCACATTTTGGTGTGTTAGAGCCCTGCACGACTTCAATTCAGGAGACTGGCTTCTATGTATTTTTAATAAACTAATTCTAAGTTTATGAAATTGCATCAGTTTTTTGTAAAAAAAAGAAAAAAAAGAAAAAGAAAAAACAAACAGCCAACTGTAACTTTAACTGAAGTTAGTGTCACACTAGTTCCCTCAACAAAGGCCACCGAGCTTCTACCAGATTTTAAGATTCTTGCAAAAAGAAGTTCTGTGTAAAATTAATGTTAATGATACTTGGGCATTTTGTCAATCACAAATTTCTTAATAATCCATCCGTCCATCTTCTTCTGCTTCTCCGGGACCGGGTCACGGGGGCAGCAGCCCAAGCAGAGAAGCCCAGACCTCCCTCTCCCCAGCCACCTCCTCCAGCTTATCCGGGGGAACACCAAGGCATTCCCAGGCCAGCTGAGAGATATAATCTCTCCAGCGTGTCCTGGGTCTGCCCCGGGGCCTCCTCCCAGTGGGACATGCCTGGAAAACCTCACCCAGAAGGCATCCTTGTCAGATGCCTGAACCTCCTCAGCTGGCTCCTTTCGATGTGGAGGAGCAGCTGCTCTACTCTGAGCCCCCCCTGAATGGCCGAACTTCTCAACCTATCTCAAAGGGAGAGGCCAGCCACCCTTTGGAGGAAGCCCATTTCCGCCACTTGTATTCGCGATCTCATTCTTTCGGTCACTACCCACAGCTCGTGGACCATAGGTGAGGGTGGGGACGTAGATCGACCGGTAAATCGAGAGCTTCGCTTTTACACTCAGCTCCCTCTTCACCACAACAGACCGGTACGTCTGTCAATCTCCCGCTCCCTTCTCCCGTCACTCGTGAACAAGACCCCGAGATACTTAAACTCCTCCACTTGGGTCAGAAACTACTTAACAAATTCTCTGTAATAATTATATATGAATTATTATTTAACTGTAAAATAATCATAAGAACACTTGGGTGTAAGCCAATCACTTCATGAATGACCCAGATAACTCATGTAGTCTCTGTTAACCACTATTTAACAGTATAACAGCTTCAAGATTCACAGCTTACTGCTGTACTGTGTGGTGTAGCTGAAGAGAAATGTAAAAACGTTTAAAGGTTGTGTTAACGTTGACTTTATTTCAAACATTAAAAGAAAGTGACAGAGACAAGGGAACCAAAATGACAAAATGTTAACTAATTAATGCAGTACTTTATCAGTAGATTTTATATATGAGCTCATCAGTACATAAACAATTGGACATCTATTATTAATATTGGCACAATCAACCATGTAATTAAAAGATCACCATTTCTAAAAATGATTTGTGTCAGACACTTGTTCAGGACAAAGTGCTGATTTTCTTGGTGGGTAACACAGCAGCAGGTCTGAACCTGCTCAAAGTTCTTCTGATAGACTCTCGCAGCTCTTTGTTCCTCAGACTGTAGATCATTGGGTTCAGGAAGGGAGTCAGCGCAGAGTACAGCACAGACACAATGATCCGCACCTGAAACAGAGTCAGATGTAATGCTTAATTCATCTGTTTATATACTCGAGGATGACATTGCTGGTCCATCTGGTCCTTTAGCATGAATGGTTTTTTACCCAGGAGTCATGCTGCGTGGCCCTTGGTAAAAACTGGCATGACTTTTTTTTCCCTGGGATTTAAACCAGAAACATTATGAAAGTATCCAGCTCTGTGGTGGAAGTCATATCAACATGTTATCACAGTAATGATGCAAGTACTTTTTGGTTGCCGTGGTTTATTGTATCCACAAGGTGATTTAACATATCACCTGGTTGTCAAGAGTGTTGGGGAGTAACAGAATACATGTACCGGCGTTATGTATTTAAAATACAAAATATGAGTAGCTGTATTCTGTTACAGTTACCATTTAAATAGGTGGTAATCAGAATACAGTTACTTTGCTGAAATAAATAGAATACACAGCAATCGTTTCTGGCTTCATATATTAGGCTATCCCCTCTCTATGCCTTCTCCAATTTTGGTGATTAAACGCACTTGGCGCAGGTGCATGTAGTCATATATCGCATGGCTATGAGCAGCCGGCCTGAGTTCGAGTGTAATTCGCAGTAGGCCCTTTTTTCTTCTTCTTTTTAACAATTTCCATCTGGTATTAATAAAGTTTACCTGATTCTGATTGCTGGAAACCCAAACAAAACACATAATAAGAGGCTGTAATGTAAGTGTCCTGTTAATGTTGGTGGCATCAGCTTTTGGGCTGACCCAGAGCCAGCCCAACAGCCAGCAGTGCACGGGCAGGAATGCATTTCTTGGAAATTCCGACACCACCTCATAAGAAGAATGGGATGGGCGAAACTTCAGTATCTTTGATGTACTATTACTGTGTGATTTTTATTACTTTTAATGAAGGATACTCCATACCGAGCTAACATTGTTAGTTGGCGTTAGCTGAGGGTAGTTTGCAGATTGTTAGGCCTTTTCTAAATCCTCATGTACAGTGGCTTGCTAAAGTATTCGGCCCCCTTGAACTTTTCCACATGTTGTCACATTACAGCCACAAACATGAATCAGTTTTATTGGAATTCCAGGTGAAAGACCAACACAAAGTGGTGCACACGTGAGAAGTGGAACCAAAATCAGACATGATTCCAAACATTTTTTACAAATAAATAACTGCAAAGTGTGGTGTGCGTAATTATTCAGCCCCCTGAGTCGATACTGTGTAGAACCAGCTTTTGCTGCAGTTCCAGCTGCCAGTCTTTTAGGGTCTGTCTCTACCAGCTTTGCACATCTACAGACTGAAATCTTTGCCCATTCTTCTTTGAAACAGCTCCAGCTCAGTCAGATTAGATGGACAGCGTTTGTGAACAGCAGTTTTCAGATCTTGCCACAGATTCTGGATTGGATTTAGATCTGGACTTTGACTGGGCCGTTCTAACACATGGATATGTTTTGTTTTAAACCATCCCATTGTTGCCCTGGCTTTATGTTTAGGGTCGTTGTCCTGCTGGAAGGTGAAGCTCCGCCCCAGTCTCAAGTCTTTTGCAGACTCCAAGAGGTTTTCTTCCAAGATTGCCTGTATTTGGCTCCATCCATCTTCCCATCAACTCTGACCAGCTTCCCTGTCCCTGCTGAAGAGAAGCCCCCCCAGAGCATGATGCTGCCACCACCATATCTGACAGTGGGGATGGTTCAGAGTGATGTGCAGTGTTAGTTTTCCACACATAGCGTTTTGCATGTTGGTCTCATCTGACCAGAGCAGCTTCTTCCACATGTTTGCTGTGTCCCCACATGGCTTGTGGCAAACTGCAAACGGGACTTCTTCTGGTTTTCTGTTAACAATGGCTTTCTTCTTGCCACTCTTCCATAAAGGCCAACTTTGTGCAGTGCACCACTAATAGTTGTCCTATGGACAGATTCCCCCACCTGAGCTGTAGATCTCTGCAGCTCGTCCAGAGTCACCATGGGCCTCTTGGCTGCATTTCTGATCAGCGCTCTCCTTGTTCGGCCTGTGAGTTTAGGTGGACGGCCTTGTCTTGGTAGGTTTACAGTTGTGCCATACTCCTTCCATTTCTGAATGATGGTTTGAACAGTGCTCCGTGGATGTTCAAGGCTTGGGAAATCTATGTGTAGCCTAAGCCTGCTTTAAATGTCTCAATAACTTTATCCCTGACCTGTCTGCTGTGTTCTTTGGACTTCATGGTGTTGTTGCTCCCAATATTCTCTTAGACAACCTCTGAGGCCGTCACAGAGCAGCTGTATTTGTACTGACATTAGATTACACACAGGTGCATCTATTTAGTCATTAGCACTCATCAGGCAACGTCTATGTGCAACTGACTGCACTCAGACCAAAGGGGGTGAATAATTACGCACACCCCACTTTGCAGTTATTGATTTGTAAAAAATGTTTGGAGTCATGTATGATTTTCGTTCCACTTCTCACGTGTGCACCACTTTGTGTTGGTCTTTCACCTGGAATTACAATAAGATTGATTCATGTTTGTGGCTGTAATGTGACAAAAAAAGTTCAAGGGGGGGGAATACTTTTGCAAGCCACTGTACACGAGTCCGTACTCGCATTTTCGCGTGTCTGGACTTCGTAAGTTCACACAGGAGTCCAGACTTCCTGAGAACGCAGTGCGATCGTTCCACAATTGGAACGGCACTGTACTTGATGACATCAGAGCTTTTTACTGCCATCCCCTCTTAATTTAGCTGTGATTGATATTTGCAATGGAAATTACACATGACATAAATTATACATGATGTAGTAGATTTCTTTAAGAAAAAATTATAATTTGAACTCATTTGAATTGAACAAATATTTAAAATATTATCTTTTTTGAGCAGCCTTCAGGATCTCCACATATTAACATGGTGGTTTTAGACTGATGGATAGCATTAACAACTTGCTAGCTGCAAATAATCATGTGCAGTTCACATGATTATTAACAGATAAAAAGAAAACATATTACTGATCCAGAAATATGTCTGTGAAGGTTCTCAGTTATCCAGGTCATCATAGTCAGAACTCAAGAAGCTTCTCAGATGAGAAGCTTTCCAAGCTTCTTAGACTGATACAGAAACAGTCTCCTATACACGATCACTGCAAAAAGTGCAGCCTTACCTAATGTCCATTTTATATTAAGATTATATTAAGATTTAATGATCTAGTTGGCATTGTAATGGCGAGTAGCCTTCAGTAATAGTAATAAATCTGTAATATATCTGTAGTGGAATACACATTAAAAGTAACTTTCCCAACACTGGCTGTTAACTCTCTGGGCTCAGCCCTAAATGAAAACACAAGTGGAACAAATGTACCTTATTTTGAGGCAATATGTCTGTGTAGGTTCTCAGTCATCCAGGTCGTGGTAGGATGACCTAGATGACTTCAAGCTTCTCAACTGAAGAAGCTTCTCAAATGAAAGGGGAATTGCCTTCAAGAAAGTTAAAGAAGTCCAGCTTTCTTTCCAAGCTCTTTAGACTTACTTTGAGCAATGTCACCAAACTCTTAATGTTACTGTTAATGTTGTTTCTTCTGACACTTTAAAACTTTTGACGTATAGTAATGTGCAAAAGTGTTAAACCACATTTCTTTATGTTTTCCTTTAAAGTAGTCTTAACCAATAGTTCTCCAGGATTTCTGAAGGTCTTTCAAATTTCTTCTTTAGCCACTGGCTTCTTTTTTGCTCATCTCACGCTCTCATTCACACCTAGGCCAATTTAGAAACAACAAGTACCCTAACCCACTCAGGGGAGTTTACATGAAATCTTGTCCATGAGAGTCCTGGTTCTGCTGAAGAAGAAAAGGTGGAGAATAAATGTGGTTATAGCAAATATCGACAGCTCATTAGAAATGTCCAAATGCTGTTTTTGTCATTGATACTGTATTTCCATTTTGGTCTGTTTGTTTCAGTAAATCTCTGCATGTATTTCTTGTTTTCCTACCAAAAATATAAATAAATAGGGGTGGCTCAAGACCTTTACAGAGTACTGCACTGAGACATTACAGAGAAAGCAAAGCAAAGTTTTTACCTCTGATGAAAAGTTTCCCACTCGGTAGGAAATGTATACAAATGAGGCTGCTGCATAAGAGATGGACACCACAGTCAGGTGGGCAGAACATGTTCTGAGCGCCTTCAGCCGCTGAGCAACAACCATCCTGGATATGGAAAAACCAATCAAGATGTAGGAGGAGAGTATGAAGACACCTGTGGTCACCAGCGACACCATTGCAAATAAGAGAGACACAATGTTATCCAAAGAGGTGTCACTGCACACAAGCCGCCTTACAGAAGATGGGTCGCACCAGGCATGTTTCACCACATTTGGGCCACAGTAAGGCCTCTCAAAGGCAATCACAGTAACAGGAAGAGTGCAAATTGCACCGAATCCCCAGGCTCCTGCAACAAGTAGCAGTCGGACAGGCCTGGTCATGATGCTGTTGTATTGCAGAGGGTTGCAGATCGCCACGTAGCGATCGTATGCCATGACTGTGAGAATGGCACGGCCTGTAACAGATAACTGAATGAAGAAGTACATCTGGAGGAAGCAGCCCAGGACAGAGATGGTTAAGATATCTGTCAGTAAGCCAGATAGCATGTTGGGGATGGTGGTTGTGGTGTAGACCATGTCCACAAAGGAGAGGTTGCAGAGGAAGAAGTACAGTGGAGAGTTGAGCTTTGGATCCGTCAGTGCCTGCAGCAGGAAAGACATAGATGGTAATCGTCACATCCTCACCTCATCCTCAACTCTTTATTAGACTAAGACAATATTGATTAAACTGTTCTCTGTACCACATAGATGATGATGCTGTTTCCTCCCAGGACCATGATGTAAATCAGCAACAGGATGGAAAAAAGTATTATCTTTTTCTCATCGAGGTTTGTGAGGCCCTGGATGATAAAGAACGTGACACCACCGAGTCCCAAGGTCTCGTTAACAGAACTAGATCTGTGATTGGTTGACAAAGTTGGGAAATCTGAAGGAAAAAAGAGCTCATCAGTGTTCATCAGAGGGGTTCAAGTCCAAAAAGGTGCATTGTTTGTGCTGCTGATATGATGTATATATGATGCCAGCTGTGATGCACCCACTGGCCAGTAAAGTTCCACTAAGCATTTTTTCTATTGTCCTCAAGTTTTTTGAAAGACGTGCCATGCTTATATGATAGCAACATGCCAATTATAAAGTAACAATGCCCTAAATCACACTGTGTTTTATTCTGTTTTTCTGTGGGACCATTAACAGGGTGATCATCATGTTGAATTTATAAGACTTAAAACTATGGTGTAAGACCAAAACTCATCAAGTATGTATAAAGCTCATAAAATAACTTAATGTTAAGGTTGTTTCCTACAGACTTCAAAACTAGATTTTTCATCCAGAGGAGCGGTCTTCTGCTGACGTGGTAAAAAAAAAAAAATGAAAGTGTCAGGCACTTCTGCATTGGCTTTCCTTTTCAGAATCAGAAACTATGACCATCTTTTACACGGACATTTATATATTAAATTTATATTTAATTTTAAATTTAAATTTATAATATGTTAAAAAGCCACTTTTTTTCTCTTGGCATAACATTAAATCTAGAAGATGGACCCACCACAGTATAGTTTGTACTACTAGTATGTCTGTGACAGACATGAGAGATTTCCATTCCCACATTACATAAATTTTTAGTCCCACTAACCTCTGGCAGGAAGCTGCAGTCCATCAGTACCAGTTTTTTCCCATGCAGCTGGACTATTTCACAAACTTAATAAAGCATAAAAGCCCCGAACCTCAAAATCTCTGTTTTTCTTAGTGGAGAGAGTGATATGTTATGTGTGATATTGGTATAAATATTAGGTTTTTCATAGCTAAATATTCATATATATATATTTTTTTTTAAGCGACTGTTTGTAACATGATAGCAAGACAAATTCCTTTTTTATGCAAAAAGAAACATTAATTGTAATTCTGATTCTGTTTACTGCTGAGATGCTTTAAAATCATTCACAGTGAAGTTTTTCAGACTGGCCAAAATGTTCAAAATTCATCTACTCATATATAAACATGTTTCCAAAAATAAAGAAACAAGGTTCAAGCCAATTTCAGCGATGATCCCAATACTTGCCCAAGGAATTTGTCCTTGCCTTCTTCAGAGGCAAACAAAAAGTACTTTTTAGTCCTTCGATCTGGATTACCAAGATTTCATATCTTATGAATACAGCTATGGTTAGATGATGACTTAAACCTAGAAGAGTTTGAGCCATGTTTAGCAAAAGCATTATCATTGTGGTCTTAATTACATTTTACACAGTACTTCAAAATCAGTATACTCACAGACATTATATTATTCAGTACACAACTGCACCAGGACATTAGGCGAAGGGGCCCTCTGCGTTTCTTGGTGTTTCTCTGTGTCATCCCTGCCTCTCATGCCATGTGTTCCCGTGCCTTTTGTCTCCTCGTGGTTTCAGGTATCACAGTGTTTAGCGTTTTGTTTTTCAGTTTGAGTTTGCATGACGTTGGTTTTCCCATTCTAGGTTTTGGTAGCTCCCCGATCATTATTTCCTGTTTTTGTCACTGTGCAGACAAATAAAACGCTCACTCGAATCACAGCCTTCGCCTGCATTTAGGTCCTTCCTTCACAAACACCACACGACTGTTGTAGCAGCCGTGACGAGTAGGAAATAGTCAAAATGAATTATCATAAATTTGTAAGTAATGCATTTTGGCAGGGAATGCATTTTGTGTCAAAAGCACATATTTTTGCAGAAAAAGCAGGGAGGTTTTACCACCAGCTGTGACTAGGTTTATAATTTTACTGAGATCACTTTTTCAAAACCTAACCAAGAGGTTTCAAATGACGAACCTTAATCAAATGACATACATGCAATTTGTGATTTGTGAAAAACTGACATGTAACTCAAAGTTCAACATCTGCCATGAAAACGAATACACTCTTTGTTAATTGTTAATCTAGAATTTATCTAACTTTTTTAATAAACAAATAGAGTGGACTGAAGAAAAATTGTGCTCAAGGACACAACATACTGTTGTGAAATGTGGGCAAGCAACGGGAATCAGTAGATTAGTAGTCATGAGTATATCATGAACTGCTATGAGATCAGGCTGGGTTTTTTGTGAGAACGTCAAGATTTGTGGTATTTTGAGCTGGATTAAAATGATTCCTGTAAAACTAAGTTACTTGTGATCACACTGACAAGCATACCTAAACAATCACTTAACCTCCTTGAAAGTAACCACCATTTCTATTGTAAAAATCTAATTTAATCTAAAATCTAATGGTATCAGAATTATTAAATAACTTAAGCTAACAACTTACTCAAAATTGAGTCACATGAACTCCTTATAGCAAAGTAAATGAGTACCACCTATTTTAAAGTTAAATTTACTTTAAGAACCCTAAATTTTAAAATAAATGAACCCAAATAAACATCAGTGTGACTGGACTAAAACTTCAGTATGACTGTACCAAAAACCAAATTGTACTTTTGCTGTATTACTGTACCCCATAAGCAGGTACTATAACTTCAAATAATACTGTAGGTCTGGTTAAAACAATAGATTTAATCAAATAATGACATTAGTTAAAAGAAACACCACAAACACTAATAATGCAGTTGTTATATATATTTTTGAGTTGTCTGTTATTTGATCTCTTGGATTCCAACTATGGTTGTTATTTAAAGAAAAAGAAAATGTGTTATTAACATTGTGGTTAGGGTCCAGAACTGTAAAAGCACCAACAGCAATAACAGAATCAGTTTTAAATAATTTTTACCAAAAAAAACCCCAAAAACACTTCATCACCTTTAACAAGTGTTTCTGTTTTATATAAATGGCAGATTATGAAGTTTTGACTGGACATCAGTAGTTAGTTGGTGGAAAAGTAAAGACAGTAAAGTAAAGGTACAAACCTCTGGGACTTTGGAGTGGAATATCGAATGTCCACAGCTCCATTTCTTCTCACCAGACAGACAGATGAACCTCCCAACAGGTGACCAGGTAAGAAAAAATTAGCTCGATAAATGACAATGACAAGTGAAGAAAAATTTGATGTGTGCATGAAAACATTAAAAGGCTGCAGAACACAAATGAAACTCCTCCAGATTTAAAGGTTGCTTTACAAAATATGTGAGAAGGTATCACTGGCTTGTCTAAGCAGGACTGAAGTCCTCTGCTCCACATTCTACCTTTTCTAGAAAAAACAACAATCTAATGAGTGACCAGAAAACTTTAATTAGGCTGAGTTACATCAGAGCATCAGACTTAAAAATGTAACACACAAGAACACAAAGAATACCAAAGGGACTTGTTTTAGGTACCTTTGTGGGTTTAAATGCAAAAAGCACAGAAACATAATTATCCCTGTAGCCATGGTAACAAAAACCTGCTTCAAAACACTTGCTTAACCTTCTCATTATACAAACTGTTGCTTTAAGTGTGTGTGTGTTTATTCTCAATTTGTAGGGCAATGACTTTTTACATTTTTTCTTCACCTCAGCTCAAGGCTGAAATGACCACCTGCACTAGATTGCCAGAGCAATCAAAGCTGACCAAAAGTCTAATTCCATGGGTTCAACGACCTCCAGAGCTGCGCTCTAGTTGGCCTGCCAGTGTCTGTCCCACAGGCTAAACAAGGCTGTTAAGACTTCCCACCTGAGATTACCAACATGACAGGCATTAACAACCTTACAGCCACAGCTCTGTCCACACTAACACCCCCCCCCCCAAAAAAAACAACAAAAAACAAAACAAACAAAAAAACCAAAAAAACAAATATTTAAATGAACAAAAAAAGGGAACAACTCCCTTTTAACATGAAGAAACCTCTGGCAGAACCAGGCTCAGGGAGGGAACTCATCCGTCCATTCTTCTCTGCTTATCCCGGAGGCTAGAGGGGCTCGAGCCTTTCCCAGCTGTCATAGGGTGAGAGGACTATGGCAGAGGTGGGACAGACAGCTATATGCACTAACATTCACAGTTCATACTTATTGGCAATTTAGAATCATCAAGTAACCTCACATGTCTTTGGACTGTGGGAGGAAGTCAGAGTACCTGGAGAGAACCCACGCAAACACAATTATGCTAACACCACACAGAAAGGCCCTGGCCAGTTGGTGGATCTTAGGACTTAGGACATTCTTGCTGGGAGGAAACAGTGCTTGCCACCGAGCTGTCGTTCTATACTTAAAAAAAAAAAGTAGGAAAGCTATGGTTACAAGGTTTGATTTAAAAATTTTCTTTACACTTTTGTTAACAACAACAATGTTGATATTTGTAAATTAAAACATTTACATTTAGTTGTTTATTTGAGTCCAAGCAACTAACCATTTTTGCTGGATTATGTCACATCATTTTAACAGGAATTAATTTAGCAACTGTTAAGTTGTTGAATTTCATACAAATGATTTGATTACATATACCATAGAAACATCAAATTATTTTGTTCAAATTATAAGTAAGACTCATGTAAATGCAATAACCAGCCAATTTCACTTTTTTGAGTGCAGTAGCTTCAAAAAGTTACAAATGCCGCCTCTGCCAAATGCTTTCAGTCACCCTGACGATACGTTATGCTAGACCTGTAAATCTAGGCTATGCTAGGCCTGCATCTTATCTTAATGACCTTGTAGTACCATATCACTTCACTCTCACACTGCAGGCCAACTTGTTGTAAAGAGTATTTAAAAGTAGAATGGGAGGCACAGCCTTCAGTTTTCAGGCCCCTCTTCTGTGGAACCAGCTTCCAGTTTGGATTCGGGAGACAGACACTATCTCTACTTTTAAGATTAGGCTTAGAGGTTTGGGGTCTTCACAAACCCCTGTTCTCTGCTGGCCATCGGGGTGGGGGGGCTGGGAGGAGGTGTTGGCCGTCCGATTGGGATCTGGGATGCGGGGCCTCCCTGCTGCTGCGGAGCCTGGGGCGGTCTGTTTGCCTCCACCCCGGGGGAAAGGGTAACATCAGAGGCCCCAGAGTGCGAGAGCCCAAGGAGGACCACCGGAGGGGCATCCGTGCCACCCTCATGGGAAGGGCTGAGGATCCCCAGACGAGGCGTCACCCAGTAGCCACCGAGCAGAAGCTAGAGGGGGCTGCACCGGCGTGCCCGCCGGCTCTGCCGGCAGCCAGCTGTGCCAGAGTGAACCGAGCCGCAGGCCCAGAGGCCGGAGGCCCGAGGGCCCCCCGCACCCCGGAGGAGGCCTGACCGAGCAACAGGCGCCAGGCCCCGCCAAGTAGCCACCGGGAGTGAGCTGGTACATACCTGAGCGCCCAGCCCCGGACACCAAGAACCACCAATGCACCGACCCCTGAGGGCATCAGTCACCGGCAGGGAGTGTGGTGAGGGGAGATAGGCCTTGGAGGGCCTGGGAGTTCCCAGAGAGGTGGAGTCTAAGACCCGACCTGACATATAGACACAGACAAACAGGCACACACAGACACAAACATGCATTCCCACCCTCATGCACACATATACAAACACTCAGCACTCACCCAACGTAAGGATTGACATAAATGGACATGTACACACAATCACACTCCCCAAACATACTCTATACCCCGGGTCCAGGTACCCTCGCCCCTGGAGGGGGAAACGGCACCTAGACCCAGGAG